GAAAATGTCATTTTATTGATAAATATGTGGTTGAAAATGAGTAAAAGAATCATAATGAAGAAAATAACGTGGCTCAAACATGGTTTTAGTTCCAAAAGATAAGGATAGCATTAGCCGGTGGCAGATCCTGTGTGGTCCACATTATTTTTTTTATTTTCATTCTTTTACTCATTTTTCATCACATTTTCTCTAATAAAATAATATTTTACATCACATCAATAACTTTTTTTTCTTTTTCAATCACATATTTCTCATCACATCAACAGTCAAAATGCATTTTAACTTTCAAAATGTGCACCAAACGGAGGCTAAAACTTTTTGTTTGTCCCGCTTACAAAAGTGGTTAAAGTAAGGGTTAGTTATTTGTCAACACCAATAATATTCTATGTAAGGCGAACTTTTGTTTAGTGCTGCGAAATTCAAATTGTTACTATTTTTCCTAACATTTATAATAAATAATACCTATTGAATACAATAAAGTAAAATTATGATCATTACAAATTTTAGTAGTAATATTATTTTTAATTAATTCTTAAGAATTAGTAATAAAAACATTATTCATTTGGTGTAATCATTTCAGTTACAGAAAAGTTGTCCTACATGAAGGGCATAGCTCGTCAAATCTATCCAACCCTTTGTTACTGTAAATTAAAATCATATTTTGAAGAGTACCAGTGTACCACCCTCTTCTCCCATTGATTCTTTACATCTCCATTAGAATCACAAAGAACTCTGTGCTACGAGTATAGGGACGTGTCTGGGCACGATTGCCTTCCAACCAAAATCAATTTTTGGATCACATCGTAGGGGCCCACTTACTGCAATTGTCCTGGAGTGTTTCTTCAAAATAGAAGGAAATTGACCATTTTATTCCCCATAAAAGTTGTTTGTGTGCCACATTTCCCTCTCCTCAAAGTTGGTAAAAAGAGTGAAATGAGAAGAACAAAACTAGTAAAAGGAGTTTGAGTGCCTGATTTTTTCCTGCAAAGTTGTTAGACACTTTCCTATAAACAATTCACCAATGGTTCGATTTTTAATTCTCAACGGTCCGAATTGTGCTATGTAGCTGGCCCAGACACCCTCTAGATATTTTTGCCACATACAGAAATTTGGAATGAAGGAAAATGATTGAAAGAATATAATTGAAGCATTTCAAATTTCTAGCAAAAATCTGTCAAAAATTCCTGTACTCAGGAATTTTTGAATCACAAAATAATTGTAGAGCCAGCCTACATGTTCGGAAGAAAACCCATCAAAACCACACAAATTGGTGTGGTCACATCTTTTTTTTTTTTTTTGCAATATTCCCATGTGAGTATCTTGTTCATTTTCTGTCTAATTTTTTCTGTATTGAAACATACTTTATCAAAACTTATGAGAACCTTAATTGGCCCAATGTTTGGGTTTCATTTTCACAAAAAATCATTTTTTTAACACTCAATTTTAATCACACATTTTCTTATAAATAATTTTATACGCAAATCGAAATTTTTTTCTTTATTTTTTAATCACATCCTCCAACTTTTTACTATTCTAAAATATGTTTTCTTGAAAAAAAAGGAGCCCAAACAAGGGCTTGAAGAAATATCAGGTAATAAGTTTTATACTTATAAGTAACTTATTTGGGTCTATTTTGACAGTAAGCTTAAACAAAACCCAAAAAAGAAAAAGAAAGATAGAGCCAAAATAATTGCAGCATGTTTGGCTAAATTTGCAAGGTGTTCATAAGCAACTTAATTAAGAATATCTCGTAGTACTAATAATTAACTTATTTGGGTTTTTTTATACAGTAAGCTTAACAAAAACCCACAAAGAAAAAGAAAGAAAGAGACAATAGGAAAGAAATCAAAAGTCAAAAACGATATATTTTGCACTATTCTTAAATGACTGGGATTAATGAACTTAAAATTCTTGGTTTCTTCAGATAATACCCAGTGGCGGATCCAAGATACGAAGTCAGATAGGAAGGTCGTTGATGGTCGCAAATAAAATTGTTTATTAATATTTAATTAAATAATGTTAAAAGATTCAATCAATATATAAATGTACTAAAACTTGAAAAAAGTCATAAACATTTGAAAATATAATCAAATATAATACAAAATAATAAGGAAAAAAATATATTTTTTAATCATACATGTGCGGTCAATTTTAATTGTCCAAATTTGAATTTTATAA